CTACTACTACTACTACTACTACTACTACTACTACTACTACTACTACTACTACTACTACTACTACTACTACTACTACTACTACTACTACTACTACTACTACTACTACTACTACTACTACTACTACTACTACTACTACTACTACTACTACTACTATGTACAATTAACCTCCCTGTGGTTCGACCCCGGTCTTGCCGGGTTATTTATTACTTCGACACTCCTACACTTGGGAGAAGATATCAATCTTTTAGTCGTGTCAGCACCCCCGTGGCAAATCACAACAATCATCTATTGATTTTAGGGTTTTTTTGTTTGTTTTTGTGAATAAGAGAGTTGCCACCTAGTATTTTAGTTACTAGAAAACCTAGTTGGTCTTTCAAAAATTTTAAGGCAAGGGATTGGTTGCGTAAAAGGAAGGTATTAGCACCTCTAGTACATCTTACCTAAAATAAGCTGCTTGGTGTTCGGTTTGCTATATAATTTCTATGGTGTTGGTGTTTGTTAATCCCATCAGTTTTTCTAGATTTGATTTAAACTATATTTATTAAGATATAAATCCAAGGAGATTTAGTATATTTCAAAAGCTCATTTTTCCCTTAGTATTTCAAGAGTTTGTGACTTGTAAATTGCAAAGGGGAGGGACAAAAATTTAGAAAATCTAGAGAGCTTTTTAAAAAAGCTATTTTTACCTTATTGTTTTATATTCTCACAACTCATAAACCGTGGAGTACAAAAAATTGAAACGCCCTCGATTATAATCAAGGCTTCTTTCAAGGATGTGTGTGGATTTATTATTTTTAGAAAATTATTTTAGATATTTACCATTTAGGGTTTCTTTATCCAAATATTAATAGTGAATAATAATAAATTATTCTTAATAATATTTTGGATATTCATCCTTTGAGTATTTCTTTATCCAAATATTAGCGGTGAATAATAAAATGAATTCCCCATAAATGTTTTTTATATTTTTTGAATATTGACCAATACCCTTTGAAGTTTTACAAACATGTTGTAAAATCCAGAAATGCAAGAAAATAATTTTGTTATGTTTAAGAAATCCATGTGAAAACACATTTTTGAATGTTTTAATATTTTTTGCATAAAAAAAGCATTCAACATATGTTATTGGCCGTATACAACATATAAGAAAAATATTTTTTTGATATATATGTATATTTGTCACATTGCGTCAAAAATCAGGTATTCTAAACACGAGATTGATATTACAACATAAAAAATTCAGACCTTAAAATAAATGTCAAAAAATCATAAATCTCTTTCTCTTTCTCTTATTTTTTTTAAAGAAAAAAAAGTAGGTCCGGCCGGGTCACTTGCTTACTAGACACAAAAGCTTAGTTATTGTTTAAGTGAATTATAATTCACTTGAACAGTGAACATAAAAGGCATGCACAATAGGTATGTAATTAAAATGCAAAATGAAAAGAATGAATGGAAACTTACCTAGCAATGAAACGAATGAAAATGATGATGCTGCAGTTTCTTGCGCACAAACGGTCATCACTAATCTGAAGACAATGAAGTACGCTAGTAACTAGTGTTGGTCTTTATCTTTCTCTTCTTGCTGATGCTTTCTCTGGAGATGGCGAAGATGATGATGAAGGTGTGATGTTCTAGCAAAATGGATGTTCTTCCCTCTGTGCGCTCTTGCTCCTTCTCTGTTTTCTTGTGAGCTGCTACTTCGATTCTTACATATGAAAGAAAACATTGTACTGCTAGAGGGGAAGAAAACTAGAGATGAAAACAAAGGACGAAGGCGATATCGAGGGCATGCTAGTTGGTCCCTCTATGTTTTTTTATGTTTATGTTCTTTCCTTCTACTTGTCCCTTTTGTGCTCTTCTTCATCCGTTTGTTTCTTTGGTTTGCTTTCCCTTACTTCCCTGTTTCTCCGTCTGGTTGGACGCATCCATCGTGTCTGTACTGAGAAGAGATGGTTACTACTGCTATAGCTGGCATGCTCTTGGTAAAAAAAAGGAGTGAGGGCTGATGCTTACGGGGGAGATGGTGGTCATGGTTTGGGGAAGATAGTGTGGGTGTTCATGGGTTGCTGGTTTGAGTAACAAACGAGGCTGTTGAGGGAGGCTGGGATGGTTGGAGATGACGGGTCCAACTATAAGGAGAAGAAACCGATGTTTCAAAATCCTAAAATAAGGTTTCTCCTCTATTTTCTTTTTCAAGAGGGAGGTGGTTGCAAACAAGATGGTTTTTTTATAGGTTTATGTTTTTTTCTTTCATTCCCCTTAGTCAATTTTTCTCCCTTCTCTCCCCTTCTTCCTCCCCAGGTCAGCTGAGGAGGCTTACATATAACCTATATGCAGCTCCACTAGGAAACAAAATCTTACATTAACTATAGGTTGTAATCTCGGGTGAGTAAAGATAGAAACCAACATATTCTGATGATTTCTAGTGATTTCTTTCCTTTCATAGCTGGGAACATGGGGCCAGCTACTGTTAGGATAGTTGTTATAGAAAAAAACATGGTTCTTTAATTTCTTCCTTCTAATTTTATCTTTAATCAGCCTCTTTAATTTAATGCCTTTTTTATTTGGTCCTTGGTCTAAAAAAGGGCTTCAAATTAGCTTGCAATTGGTCTTCAAACTTTAAGCATCTTGCGATTGTGTCCCTACAAACTTGAGTAAAATCCTTCTCACGGTAGGAATCATGCTTTCACATTAGATATTCAAACAGGAATATCTTTAGCTTTTGATATCAAAATCAAGCAATTCAAAAGCTCAAATTTACCTACTCGTCCAGGACTACTACTTTGATGAAGAAATCGAAGTGAGATAAAATTGTTTTAAAGAACAGAATCTAGTAGTAATTTAATTGGTCAAAAGGGTCTCTTGATCTAATTCAAAAACTGACAAATGTCGAGAATCCTGATATGACTAAGAGTATGATCTAAGAACAAATCAACTAAATTTATGGTACAAATAGAGGTTTTTTAGTGCAAAACTTGGGTCAAGATCCTTTTCATGGTAGAATTCTCTCCCTCTACATTAGATATTCAAATGGAAATATCTTAAGCAAAAACAATATTGATTTCATTAATACTGAATCTAAATATTTCATCATAAGAATAACATTTTCCCAGAAACATTCCACTTATAGTTACAATAACTATATCTAAATTAAAACAATCTTGAACCTTTTTCCACTCAAAATATTAGTAGATAGAAGATGTCTTCTAATTTTAGAAACATGAAACACATTAACTAAAGAAATTTTTTGTCTAAAAGTAAAATATAATTCAATAGTTCCTTTTTTCCCCCAAAACTTAAGTAGAATTATGGTTGCCAATCAAGATCTCATCGAGTTTTTTCAATTCTTTTTAAGTTTTGAAACATGCTTTGTTGTTGCAAACATAAAATGTTGCACCAGAATCAACTTACCAATTTGAAGTCTACACAATAATAATTGTTATATTTAATTCAATAATCATTCCAATTTAAATGTTTGAAACTATGACAACCAACTCCTTGATTTCATCATTCTCAACCATATTCACTTTGTTAGCACTGTCTTTTTTTATGGAATTATTGAATCTATATTTTTCTATGTGGCTTCTTTGATTTCCATGATGGAAACCAACTAAAGTTAAAGTTCCATCAAAGAGCATTTCCATGGGGCTCACCTCAGGGAAAGGTTTTCATGAGGCTGATTTTAAGCTGCCATCCAAGCACGAATGCCTTCATTTAAAAGAATATTTTTGGTATAGAAAGTCTCAAATTTAATATCTAAATCACATTCTTCTTGTTATTATTATGTTTCTTCTTGAATTTGTTTCTTTTCTTTTGCATTTTCAAATTATTTTGAGTTATTTTTAAACAAGTTTCAATAACTAAATTCACTTTATAATTTATCGCCATCAATTCAGATTAAACATCTATTTGCAAATGTGTTTGAAATTGTTTAAATGTATAATTATATTTTCAATGTAATATCATTTTTATATATTCATTTCAAAATAGAGGTAATGTTGATAAAACAACCTCTACCTGAAATGAATTAAGAATTTTGATATCAGAATCACTAAGTTTTGATATCATAATTTAAATTCCATGTACTTCATCAATGATTAGCTTATTGTTAGTAATTTCATATTTAAAAAATTTTAAACTAAGAAAATTATTAGAACATGATTAAAAAAAGATATCAATCTTGTTTATTTTTCATAAAAATAGTTAAACCAAACATATGTAAGATACGGTCAAGGCAACTATAGTTTTGTTTTTTTACAGTTAAATCATGTTCAAATATTATTAAGAATATTATATTTTCCTTTCAGTGAAAAACACGTTTCGGTGATTTATTTGCCTCCTGGCCCAATGACATGCGATAATTTATTTTTTTCATTTTATTAACCACTTCGTGAAATTGAATTTACTTATATAACTAGAGCTAATTAAAATATTACATAAATTTTGTATGGGGAATAAGAAAGTGCTCGGTCTTGTTTGCTGGCTGGGACACATATTTTAATTTAAATTTTATTACCTATAAAAGTCAATTATATACCAAAATTGAGACTTGACTTTTATAAGATCCAAAATAAGTTGACCTGACGTAAACAAACTACGAGCCAGAATCTTAGATCATAATTATTTGGTATTCATTCAACTTATATCAAGCACCAAACCATAGGTATAATATCTTGGCTTCCTGGCAGGTTGATTAAAAATCTCGATGATTGATTGATAGCTTGATTTGGATTTTGTTTATTTTAAATTATTTCTTATATTTATCTAGTTAAATTTAAATGACTTGGTAAATTAATATATTACTTCGTGTATTTAGTTAAACCTAACTGTATCAAAGTTTAGAATTAAAAAAAATAAATCAGAGTTTACTTGGTAATACAAAAATTAACCTAATTTGCCGTGGATTAACCTGACACATCTCATCTTGGATCTGAATTAATCCAGGTCTGATTTTAAGACACGGTCTCATCAAATACCTGGACTAGGCATAAGAAATTTTAGATTAGAGTTGAGCCTCTTCCTCAAAAGTGCCTTCGGAGTTTTGAAGTTGTAGATCCAAGCTATCTCTTCCACTATCCTCTTAAATTTTCTTCCTCTTAAATATTACACGCATAAATAGATATGGAGGAGATTCGCCGGGCTGTTGTAGCTTATTATGAACATCTGCCCGAAAATAACAAGAAACTGGCCAGGAATACTTTCAATGCCATGGATAAGAACGGAGACGGGCAAATTAGCCTCCGTGAATACGCGGACTCTCTCAAGAGAAAAAAGGCACATATTTTACTCATCGGAGCATATTTAGCGTGCTGGACAAGGACGGCAATGGAAGCTTGGATTTTGAGGAAGCAATCGTCTTGTACTACATCATGCAGAGTGGAAGGGCTTCAATTTGCCAGGGTTGTGACTCGTTCTTGGCAGGAGCATACTTCAGTTTCTCTCAATGTTTCTTCAATGATGATTCAGTTAGCACCTATGAAATTTGTTATGCTTGTTATTGTTATAAAATAATATAAATAATATTTTAAAACCTCATCTAGTAACTTAAATTTTTGAGTTGATATAGTTTTTTAACTTGGTATTAGAGATTTAATGATAAAGTGGTTACGAATTTAAATTTCACTATTTTTATTTATTTAATAAAAACTAAACACATGATAATATGAGTCTATGCAAGTTTTAGTTTGAAAAACTTTCACTTAAAAAGATATGTTAAAGAATAATATAAATCATATCCTAAAATCTTACATAATATCTTAGACTTTTAAATTGATATGATTCTTTGATAATTATTGTGGTAAAAATTTCACATACCACGGTGATGCCAACTTTTGAGATAACTAGACTTTACTACAACAAAGTAGGAGCGTGATCCAAATGGCCTCCATAAAGGTAATTAATTTTAGAAACTTAAACAGTATAATTATGTACTATTTATACTAGTAGAAAAACCAATTTCACTTAAAACTTTAAGTTGTTAGGTAATCAAGGTCTCAAGATATGATTTATATTATTCTTTAATATACCCCATCAAATAAAAGCCTTTTGGGCTTGAAACTTGCACAAGTTTTTTTAATCTTATGTTTAATTTTAATCAAATAAATAAGGATGCTAAGATTCAAACTCGTGACCACTTAGTTATCAAAGCTCTAATATCATGTCAAAGAATCAATTCAACCTAAAAGCTTAAGCTGTTAGGTGAGGTTCCAAGATATAATTTATATTATTATCTAACAACACTATATATTTTCCTAATTAATGGAGCATTACTTCTTTTTCTCATTTAGATAATCAATTTTGTTTTTGCAATTTCAGCCACAAATATTAAATGGTCATTTTATTTGTTAAGATTTTCTTTTATTTGCATGCTCTCTCAAATTTAAAGTATTTGAGAAAATTATAAATTTGAATTAATGACCAATTTAATAAGATTTGTTTTTTCTTTGGAGTTTTGAATTTTTTTTAATTAAAAAACAAATATTTGGAGTTTTGAAAATGTGTTTTCGCATGGATTTCTTAAAGACAACAAAATAAATTATTTTCTTACATTCTGGATTTTACAACATGTTTATAAAACTTCAAAGGGTATTGGCCAATATTCAAAAAATATAAAAATCTTATTTTGAGGGGAATTCATCTATTATTCATTGTTAATGTTTGGATAAAGAAATCCAAAATGGATGAATACCCAAAATATTTGTCACACCCTCACGACGTTGTGGCGATCCTCGATAGATTTCAGGGTTTTTTGTTTTGATTTTGTGAATAAGGGAGTCACCACCTAGTATTTTCGTCATTAAAAAACCTAATTGGTCTTTCATAGATTTTAAGACAAGGGACTAGTTGCGTAAAGGGAAGGTATTAGCACCTTCAGTATGCCTTATCTAAGATAAATTGCTTGGTGTTTGGTTTGCCTTATCATTACTACAGTGTTGGTGTTTTTTAATCTCATTAGTTTTTCTAGGTTTGATTCCAACTAAATTGATTAAGATAGAAATATAAGAAGATTTCATGTGCTTCAAAAGCTTATTTTTTTCCTTAGTATTTTAAGAGTTTGCGACTTGTATATCACAAGGAGGAGGGACAAAAATTTAGAAATTTAGGGCGTTTTAAAAGCTTATTTTTTCCTTAGTGTTTTCTACTCTCACAACTCGTAAACCATGGAGTGAAAAATTAAAATGTCTTCAATTATAATCAAGGTTTCTTTCAAGGATGTGTGCGGATTTATTATTCCTAGAAAATTATTTTGAATATTTACCACTTAGGATTTCATCCAAATATTAACGGTGAATAATAACAAATTATTCCTAATAATATTTTAGATATTTTTTCTTTAAGGATTTCTTTATCCAAACATTAGCAGTGAATAATAGATGAATTCCCTTCAAAATAAGATTTTTATATTTTTTTTAAATATTGGCCAATATCCTTTGGAGTTTAACAAGCATGTTGTAAAATCCAGAAATGAAGAAAATAATTTTGTTGTGTTTAAGAAATCCATGCGAAAACACATTTTCGAACTTTAAATATTTGTTTTTTTTATTAAAAATATTCAAAACATGTTAGGTATTGGCTATATGCAGCATATAAGAAAAACATTTATATTTTTTTTTAAAGAACAAGTATCACAATTAAAGACAACAAACCATGTATATATTCTCAAAATTTTCAAGGAGAAAAAATAATAATAACACACACACACATACATCCACTTTTACTATGCTCCACTCACACATTATTTTTACATGATACAATTTAGAAATTGCAAAATAAACCTTCAAATATTCAGGAATTGCAAAGGAATATTTTTACAATATAAAAACACAAACACCACAAAGTAAATACAAAAAAAAATAAATAATATTACTTGTTTTTTAAAAGATTGAAAAGCCCAAATTTATCTACGCGTCTAGGACTACAACTTTGATGAGGAGTCGAAGTGAGATAAAATTATTTTAAAGAACAAGATCTAGCATTAATTTAGTCAGTCAAAAGGGTCTCCTGATCTAGCTCAAAAACTAACAAATGCCAAGAATCTTAATATGACTAAGAGTATGATCTAAGAACAAATCAACAAAATTGATGATAGAAATAGAGTTTTTTTAGTGCAAAACTCGGGTCAGGATCTTTCTCGAGGTAGAATTCTCTACCTCCATGTTAGATATTCAAACAGGAATATCTTGAGTTTCTGATATTGAAATCAAGTGATTCAAAATCCCAGATTTATCTACATGTCTAGGACTACAACTTTGATGAGGAGTTGAAGTGAGATAAAATTGTTTTAGAGAATATATTCTAGCAGTAATCTTATTGGTCAAAAATGTTTTTTTATCTAACAATGTTGAACATCCAAATCTAACAAAGAATTTGCCCTAAGAACAATGATTCCTAGGACCTAATAAAGGTGCAGGTTAATTTTTCAACATGTCATGAGTGATAGAATATAGGTAGGATGGTCAAATATTGTATAAAACAAAATCAGAATCAGAGCCTAAGTTGGAACAAAAAATTGTGACAACAGCAGAACCAATTTTTTAGTGCAATTTCTGAGGGATTTATCCAACCTTAAAGACTAGATAAAGAAGAAATGAATTTAGTATTATAAAGACTCCTGATCAACCTAAAAAAACCTGATGATTTTGGTACAAAAGGGAAGGATAAAAAGAGCAGAAAATAGCTCAAAAAAGGTTTTGAAAAAAAATATTTCTCTCTGCTTTTGTCAATCTTCTGGCAAACATGAGCTAAACTACTACACTTAGTTCAAAAGAGGTATACACCATCTCCAACACGTGACGTCCAAAATTGAGTAACAACAATATTATTGGGAATAACTTGTTATTATTCACTGTTAATATTTGGATAAAAAAAACCCTAAGGAAAAAAGAGGCTTTTTAAATGAAACCTTGATTATAATTGAGGACATTTAAGTTTTTGACTCCACAGTTTACGAGCCATGAAAGTATGAGACACTAAGGAAAAAAGAGGCTTTTTAAAACGCTCTGAATTTCCTTAAATTTCTAAATCTTTGTTCCTTTTCCCATGCGATTTACGAGTTGCAAATTCTTGAAATACTAAGGAAATGAGCTCCTAAGCACATTGAATCTCCTTATATTTCTATCTTAGTTGTCTTTTAATTTATAGGTTATAAATTTAGTTCAAATCAAACATAGATTTTAAGAGATCTGCATTATTTCTTTTTGGCACTCTGGAGATATATCTAAGGGTATGATCTATATTGGCCAAGGGTTCTTGCTTTTAAACTTTGAACCCAACTTTTTTTTATAAAGTAAAACTATCCTAGGAAAACTAATGGGATTAGAAAAAACCAACACCATAATAGTTATAAGATAACCTAAATACCAAGCAGCTTACTTTAGGTAACGCGTACTGAGGGTGCTAATACCTTCCATTTACGCAACCAGTCTCTTGCCTTAGAATCTCTCAAAGACCAATTAGGTTTTCTAGTGACCATAATACTAGGTGAAGAGTCTCTTATTCATAAAAAAAAGACCCTAACATCAATATCCCTACTCCCAAAAAGGGTCAACATGATGTCGGGCTTTGCAAGAGGGTGACAAAAACCATTTAATAAAATTGCTTTGACAAACTTCTTATGCCATTGTGTTAGAGCTTGTTTTAAACCATATAAAGACTTTACTAATTTACAAAAAGCTTTCTCATTTTTAGGAAGTATAAAACCCCTAATTTTCTCCGTATAAACTTCATCCTTTAAATATTCATTTAAGAAAATTGTCTTAACATCCTTTTGATGAATATAAAATTTATAAATTGATACTAAAGAAAATAAAACTCTAATGGATATAATTTTTTCCACTGAAAAATAAGTGTGAAATAATCAATACCTTTATTTGAGTAAAACCTTTGCTAATTAATCCTACCTTGAAGTTTTGGTAGAACCACTAGTATTGTATTTTCTTCTAAACACTCACTTACATCCTATTGTCTTATAACCTAAAGGTAAATCTATTAGGACCTAATAGTTAGACAATATTGAATCTATTTTATTATTTATCATTTCTTAAAAAAAAAAAACATCCGTAGAAGACATAGCTTCATAGGATGTCTTTAGATCATCTTTTACATTTAAGGTCTTAGGTG